AGAAATTTCGTTTCAATTTAATGATTAGAATTAGGATCTTCCGGCGACCCAAATGCCAAATAATTTAATTTGGTAGAAATAAGGCGAGTGAGTGAGTGATAGTTCCACATTGCGCCATTTCCTACTGCATCACATTTCCATTCAATACTTTTCCTTTTTTTCAGCATAATCAACAAAAATTTCTCATAAAATAGAGTTAACAGAAAATTTTTAAGGTCACCGTTGATCGTTGTTTTTTTGTGTAAGAATGCGCAGTTATCATATTTACATCAGAAATGTTCGTATGATTGTTATCACTCATCACTAACTTTTTTCATTTCATTTTATGTTATCATGATAGTCACCTAATTGATGCAACTTCTGTGTATAGCGATGAAAATGATGAAAATTTATGAATCTTTTAAAGATCTGGCATTATTATAATTATCTTATATGTATGTGTATGGTGAAGAAAATGATGCTTTCTTTTGCTGTTGTTGTAATAATTCATGTTTTTTTACCACAATTCTATATTGTAGAAGCCTGAAATATCATACAAAGTGTGGAAATATGCTACTAAAATCTTAAAATTATCAAAAAGTAAAAGAAACAATCATCAAAATCAATTGATGTAATTCTTATTTTACAAATATGATGGGATGAAATTTCGTTCTTTTTTCGCCAAATCTTTAACTTTACAACGTTAAGTAGAACACATAAATTATCATTATCATTATCATTTTAAAAGCAGTAATTTGTTAGCAGGTTTCAATTATTTTAAAGTTTTATCATGTTGTATTTTAAATTTACAATCTTTTTGAACATATTTGTATTCAAATTACATTCGTTAAATTATAGTGTCAGTCAGATTTGAATTTAAAAGAGAAGAAGAAAAACGGTGAGGAAGAAGTCATTGATAGTATGTGTTGCTCAATGGTGATAGAAATTTTCATCATTTGGCTCCTTCATTGGGAGGGTCACTTGTCCAATTGGCCTTGATGACAGCGACAACAGCGACCAACACAACAGCATCACCGTTTTATTACTTTCAAGGTTTAAGAATTGTGCAACCAGATCGTAAATTCAACATTTATTTTGTTATTACACTCAAATAGTTAAGAACTAACAATTGCATGTTTTTTCATTCGCTATTCTATGGAATTCTCAAAGTTAAGCTTAAAATAAACTTTCGCAAAGTTTAAAAATATGTCTTAATAAAACCAACAACTACTAAAGTAATAGATTAAGTACCTTGACAATGCAAATAACTGATAAATTTATTTTAACATGAACATTTAAAAAGTGTCATGTTTGAAGTTAATGATTTAATAATTTCTTATCGACCTTTCTTCTGCTCTATTTTTGAAACATCACAATCATAAAGCTGTTGTCAATTCGCAAAGTTCTACTGCTAATTATTTCTAGGAGCTGATAATGGTTATTTTTTCTCCACTGCTTTAAATTTTCCAGAAATATATTTTGCTATTGTTTTACATTTCCTGGTTAAATTAAATTTCACTTTTTTGTCTCATTTTATTTTGATAATACAATGCCTTAATAATATTTATGTGCCGCTAACAATTAATTAATGCTTAATTATTTATTATTTCCTCTCCTGTACCTTATAATTGTTTGCAACAAACTAAAAGCAAAATTCAAAATTGAGAAGCGAAAAAAACGAGATGATTGAAATATTTTATACCAATCAGTTTTGCTAATCTATTACTTTAAGATAAATTAATTTCTCTACCTTATGAAGAATGTTTTTTTTAATTTTATTTTTTCCGGCTATGAAGAAGTAAATTATTAAATAAATATTAGCTAATGTTCCTCTACGAATTCTCTCTCTCTTTTCAATGATACTGATAATGAATAGCACTAATAATAATGTTAATTAATTAAATAATTAATTGTGAATATTATCATTTTTCTTTCAACTGTTTACTATTAATATTGGATCAATTATAATAAATTATAATTTTATTTTTTGCATTTCTTTTTTTGCATTAATCTATTTGTTGTGAGTGTTTTGCATGGCAATAAGTAAAAACGTTGTTGGTTGCAAACAGTTTCAAAAACTGAAATGATCCTTTAATTTTTCTGAATCCATCCATTCTCATTCGACCAAATGAGAAAAATGAAAGAGGCATTATTATTTGTTGTTCATTTTTGTGTTAATCGAACAAAACCATTTCAACCACTTAAATACAAATTTTTTGCCATCTTCATTTTGTCTTGTCTCGTCCCGTCTCGTCCCGTCCCGTCCCGTCCCGTCCCGTTCCGTTTATTCCTGATTGTTGAAATTTTTCGTCCCTTTTTTTCCTTTTTTATTTGAAATAAATTTTGAATGATAAATTTCATTCCTAAATTTTAGTCATTTAATAATTTACGAAAACTTTAAATAAATCAGAAATTTAGACGACTGTTTTTCATAAAATTTTTCACTTTAATAGTTTTAGTTTTTTCTTCTCTCTTTTATTTCATATCACAATCATTCGATAACTTTTTGATAAGATTTCAAGTGCAATAAAATACGTTTAAGATTATTCATAACCTAAAAAGTCCATAATTAATAAAAGCATAATAGGATTTGTTTTGTTTTGTTTTGTTGACGACGCAAGTGATACCATAAGAATGATTTCAGCCTTATAAAATCATTTATACATTCCAATGTCATCGTGACCTGAAGAAATAGGAGGCGGGGGTGGAGTGGGAGGTGTAGATGGTGAGAGAGTGGACTATATAAAATATAAACAAACCAATTCTATCGTTCGTTCAACTATAACAGGAATAAAACTGAAGAAGAGGAGGAGGAAGAGGAAGATGAAAGAGGTGGGGGACAAGTGACATGAGAAGATAGTAAGGTTGATTTGGAGGACAATCCAATCATCACCTCCAACATTCCTACTCCCCCGCTTTTCACTTCTACCGTTCACCCCCGCTCTCCTTCTCCATTCTCCTACTTTTCCCCCGCCATATCTTCTTTATCACTGCCATTGATAGCAAATGGAACCCAAAAATGAGTGATAGGAGATATTTAAATAGTTCATTGCTTTACTGTTTGTTATCTTACCCTTCTGTGATATTTTTTAATTCTTAGAACTTTTTGTGCATACGATCCACCTGTTTTCTGTCATTTCTTATCCCTTTTCTGGCGTTCTTCTCTATAAGCTTAATGTAATTAGTTTAATTAGTGTGAAGGAAAAGAGCAGAAAAATTAGCACAATAACTTCCTTCCATTGATTACGAGTAATTTCCACATTTCTTATTAAATTTATTATCGAATTTTGATTGAAACTGAAGAGAAATGCCCACAACAAATGGTAAAAAATTGATCTTGTTTAATAACATTTCTTAAATAAAATATTCAGATACTATTATTCATTTTATCATATTTCACTATTTTCTTGTCTGATCGAATATCATTTTGCCACATAATCTTTCTCTCAATAAAATTTATCATTACAGCAACTGGCAATAAATTTGCTTGCATTACTTACATACACAAAATTAGTAAAATTCTCATTGAAATATTTTCAAATTTTTCATTCTTTTTCCTTTCCTCCTCCTCCTCCTCCTCCTCCTCCTCCTTCTTCTTCTTCTTCTTCTTCTTCTCTTCCTCTTCCTCGAATATTTTTTCTTTTTCATTGGTAAATCCTGAAATTAATATTATCCCTCCTCCCTTGCCATTCTTGTGGATATGAAATTCTTGCAGTCTTCCAAGACATTTGCTATCTTTCGATACCTTTGTTTTGAATTTCATTTCATTTCGGCATATGAATGTATATGTTTGTGGATGGATGTGTATATACACCTAATTCTTTTACTGACATACTTTTTTTCAGTAATGACGGTGGCACCAATATTTGACACAGTGAAATAATTAAATAATCATCTTTAATTATTGGGATGATGAGTTTTAGCTAAGTCGACCATCTTTTAAAATGCTTTTATTAAATTTGAATCCCTTAAATTCAAATTTTTTAAAAGATTTTTTTTATATTTCGTTTCCTACAAACTTCTACCTTCTTATCCTTTTATACATCATTTTATTTTAAACATTATTAATTTAATTAATTAATTTTTATAAAATATATCCATTTCTCAAAAATTACTGTTTAGTATTCCACGCTGCATTTGGATAGATTTGCATTCCAATGTTAATTTAGTTTTCCACTCTATTGATAGTCAGTTGGTGTAAACAAATTAAAATGTGAAAAGTCACACATTAAAGAAAAGTGTATTCTGAATGATTTTGTTAATTGAACAAAAAAACATAACGACGAAAAATTTGCTCTGATGATATGGGAAATCTAAAATAATAGAATATCTAAAAAAATCTAATGTAGTTGAATGGGATAAGGGGAATCGTCGACCTTCAAATGACCGCAGTGGACTATTAAAAATGTGCATCATTCGTTTTGTTTGACGCATTCTAACGACATTTAACCTTTCACCCGATCTTCATGTAGTGATGGACTTAATTTATTAATAAGTTATTAATTTATTAGATCTTATTTATTAATACTTGCAAAATTGAGGAAAAAATTCGTTTTCATTTTTCATCTTTTAAATCAAAGAAAAGTAGTTAGAGGTTATAAGTGACACTATAATGATGTCATCTCGACTACGGTTTATAATATAATTTCATCGAAGATTGAAATATACTCTGATTCAGTTCGTCAGTCATTTCTTTTATGACTACTTGAAAATTTCCATTTTTCCACAGATAGAATTCGATCTAATGCAAAGCAATTAATACAAAATGAATCATATTGGAAGCTAAAATTTTGAAATGTTATCACAATATGTGATAACTTGAAGTAGAGACCATTTACCGGTTGATATTACAATAGTTTTCATTTCTCATAAATTATTAAATAACGAAAAGAGTTTTTTCTTTTTCTTTTCTAATTTTTATCACTTATAATACTTTCCATTTCAAGCCACATTGTTTGAATTTATTCTCAAATTTTTTCAATTTTAAAATATTGAAATTATTATTCATTTTAGGAAGGAGTATGATATGGATATTACTGCTATTACCATTAGCTGCAACACATATCAGACTAACATATCCACCAACTCATTATTCATTCTTGAATTATTCCATCGATAGCGGAAAAAATCAGAAGCCATGCGGTGCATCTAAAGATCCAAAAGGTTACACTTTCTTCTTTACTGCTTAAAAGAAAGGATTAAATAATTCATTTTATTTTATTTCTTCTTTCTACCATTTAATAAATTCATATGTTGCTGGATTTTATTTGAAAATTTTAAAGTTTAGACTATTTTTTGCAATAACGACAAGCTAATAGGAAATTAATAATACTATTCTGCAGGTGATAAATAGAAAAAAGGAGGTGAAGATGAAATAAATAGCATCGATATAATTTTAAAATTTTTCATGAAATACTTAGAAAAGTATTCCCTACCATCCATTAATTACTTTCTTTCTTCCATTGCATTAATTTTTAAATTAAAGTCAAATAATAAATGAGAAAATTAAAAAGAAATTATCGATGAGGTAAACAAAATAATTTTTTAATGATTGTATACCTGATCCTCATTATACACCTCATGCCCTCCTTAATTTTTTCTTTCAGTGTCATTTTGTGCACTACAGTTTTTTGATCTATAAGAAACCAGTAATAGTTAAAAATTACCGTTGTATAGTGGTCGGAATGGAATTGCAGTGAGATCTGGTAGCAATTAACAAGTAGAAAGTGGTTGCAGTTTCAAAATTGGAGTTAATCAAAGTCATTGAGTGAAAATATTCTGGTATACTATTACGGCGAAGAAAAGGAAATAACGAATCGAAAATTTGAAAACTCATAATTTTGAATTCTATAAAACTTTTTCAAAATAATCTTATTAAATAATTTCTTCATAGTGACCTTTTTGTTGATTTCCTTACTTTAAAAAGTTAGCATTGCAACTAAATTAAATCTCAGAGTGCACCCTTTTTTGAAAAAACGAATCGAAATTAAATAATTCTAAATATTCTAATATTTCAAATTATTTTATTGATCGATAATTTTATATGAGATTATTTTTGAAATTATAAGTATTAGAAAAATGAAAGAAAGTAATTTTTATCGGTTGTATATTTTTAGTGTAATTAAACCTTTTTCCTTGATCTAAAAATTAATATTTTGAAATTTAAAAATTGAAAATTTCAATTAGTTAGAGAAGAGTCCTTTTTATCTTGATATAGACATAAAAAAATACTTTAAAATCTTATGCATGTTAAGCATTTTGTTGAAAATTCATGCATAAATGACTTTCAATTGAATGAAACAAAATCCAAGGGCATACATAACAAAATTCGTATAATATATTTCGTAGATGAAAAGTTGAAAAGATAAGGTGAAGGGTTGAGGAAGTTCGGTCACTCAACTGGAAATCATAAAAATGTCGTATGTCATGTATCCTCACCCTTATCATAATCATTATCATCATTATTATCATTGTGATCGTCACTAGGGTCAATAATGTTGTGTTATTGTAACGGAACTAATAATTTCCGATAATTTCACTTTTTTTACTCATCGGAAAAATGCGATACAAACATAATAAATGAATGGGAAAAAGTTGAAATTTTTCTTGTAGAAAATTATTACCATATTGTTAGGACAACAATTTTTACATTAATTATCATTTTCCAATGATTTTAATGTGTAAACGGTAGAAATGTTCAAACAACGACTAATTTATTTTCTTAATTGCTGTGAACTCTGCTGAAACATTAAGAATTCTTCCTCTAATAACAATGATCCTCATTACTGATGAAAATGGCATTCAATTAATTGGAATAATAATAATTAATAAAAAGGTAGTAATTTCATAGGAATAAAACATTTGTTAAGATTATTTCATTCTATGTTCGCTTTCGCTAAAAAAATTATGACAGTCCTACTGTATATTTACTGTACACTCTTATTCCAAAAATTAATTACAGCATCAATCCTGAAATTGTTATGTCTATTATATTCATTTATGAAACATTTGTCAAGCATACGAATATTTCTCTATTAGCTGAACTAATTAATATTATTTTTTTATCAAATTTAAATTGGCACTATATTTATTCATTCCGTTATAGGTATTGTAACATGGCTACGATCCGGTGAAGATGTTAATATAACTTGGTTTCAGTCAGTATCTCATAATGTACGGTTTCGCTTATTCAACAAATGTTTTCGTTTGTAGTTCAAATGAAATTTGACATAGATGAAATGAATTTGAGTGCTCATAATCTATTTTTCTTTTTTATCTCTTTTTGTAAAATAGACAATTGAAATGATTAGGTCAAAAGAATTAATTCAAATTGTCATCATTGTTAAAGATTAAATTTAAGGGAAATTTGAAGTTAGAGTTATTGAACGATATGGGTCAAATGATTGCAGTCTTATCACCAATCACAACTGTTAACACCAATAACAGAACTTTGTAATCTTTTTTAAATTGACTTCTGTTATATATTTAATATTATAAAAAAATCTAAGAGAAAATAGAAATTTTTCCTTTTTTAAATCAATAAATAAAAAATTTCATATTCGCTATTCATTTTGATATTTCATTTCTAATATTGATAAATTTGTTAAATAATTTACTTTAATAGGATGTTTTATACTATGTTGTATAATTAAAAACATATATAAGTTTTGTTGTCACTTCTTCAGGAAAACATCAGCAACAGTAATGTTACCAAAAAATTACGAGTGTTACAATTGTGTGATACGAATTATCCGGCAAGTTACTGAAATCGGGAAAAATTATTCATCCTATTATTCATGCGCCGATGTGAATATCGTTAACGGTAAGTATCAGAAAGATGAAATAATACCGAAACAGAAATATTCTGTTCCTCAGCTGTAACATAACCATTCCTAGTGATGCTTCGAACCATTTCAAGCAATCCATCTAATTCACAGACTAATTAATTAATTAATAATTCAATTTAAGGAATTCCATTTTGTTACTTAAAAATAGCACGAAATAAGAAAAAAAATCACTTCATAAATCAGAATATCATAAAAGAGGACAAATGAAAATTTAACTTTGATTGAAACTAATTTAAATTTGCATAAATTGAAAAAAGTGATCTATGCAACAAAGAATATTTTCAAAATGTTATGTCCTTTCAATCAAGAAAAAACTTTTCTCTTTTTACTGAACTTTAAATTATAAAATAGAATTTTTCTCCAAACATTTAAAGTATACAAATGAATGATAATTGATTGGAAATTTTTCATGCCAGCCGTTTTTTTCTTAATTTGATAAATTTGGAATATAAATTTATTTCATTTTATTTCTAAGTTACCTTTTTCTGATATGTGATTATTTTATCGAACATTTGAGGTCAAAATTTTCAGTAACTTTTTTGACTCAAAAAGAAATGAAAAAAAAATTTATCCAATGACATTAAATTTTAATTAGGGTAAGTGCGAAATTAACCATTTCAATTTAATAATTTATTTAAACTTTAGAAATCCCAGATGGTGATACATGTCTGGGTAATGGAAACAGGAAACACGGGATATGTGAATGTGACTCGCATTCATCCGGTGACAATTGCCAATATCACGGTATTACAATGCAATTATTTTTTTTCAATTACAATTGTTTAATCAATTTCATCAACACGTACTTTTAGTATCCAATTCAAATATTTGATGTCAGTTAGTTTCGATGAATTTATGACAATTTTAATAATACCATTTTTAAATAGCAAAGTTTTACTACGTTAGCTAATCAAAAAAAGTTTCTTTGTGACAATTTTTATGACGAATAATGGAGCAATTTGATAATTATCTAACAATTGAATAGTTCTATAAGTTTAGAGAGTTAATAATTTTAAGAAGTGGAAGTAATTAGTTGTTAAACTGCAATGACCTATCTCAAAAAATATGCTTAATTAATTGGAATTGTTATTCTTTTCGACTCGACAAAATTTCAAATTTTTATGCAGCCGTAAAATTTGATGAGTCATAATATCATCCTAATATTATGTAATGTAACATCTCTATTAATTAATTGACAACTCTTTTCAGTTCTTTGATTTACAATATCATTAAATAATTTGATAATTTATTTACATGAGATATATGCAAATAAAATTATTCCATTCTTATTTATATTTAAAATTTTTATCACAATATCTTTATTACAGTATCAAATATAAGCTCATATCATTAACAACAACATGTTATATCGTAATATTGTCTTTACAATGATTTCTGTTGTATTAAATTTTTTTCAAATTGTTAAATACTTTAAAATTTTTTAGATTAATTGTGGTAATCAAAGAATTTTTCATTCGAATTAATAATTTAAACAGATTAATTATGTTCAATTACAGATGAATGCACAGATGACAGTGATTGTAACAGTAATGGAAAATGTGTTCCATTCTCGAATGATGCATTAGCGATGAAGCAGTGCTTCTGTCAACGAGGTTATTTCGGGAGGATGTGTCAACATGGTTTGTTTTATAGTTTACAGTAATCCCGATGATTTTTCATTCATTCATTTTCTGTAAATATATATTTTATGCGGGAAATATAATATTTCGTGAAATTCTCAATAGATAATAAACAAATTTGATATAAATAAAAAAGATAATAAATAAAAAATAAACTTGTTTTGGTGGAAGAAAATATAACTGTTACAACATTATTTATATAAAATTCCTGTTCCTGTCATTATGAAGTTCGTTCACGTTTAAAGTGTGACTGTTTAAAATGTGTTATTTAATTCCTTCATGAATGTTTGGAATAAAAGACCTGAAATGTTCGTGTTTGAGAACTAATACGAAACGTGAATAGACCGTGAGTTACCGCTACTGATTAAGAGCTTGACCACAACGGGTTCTGCAGTCCAATAAATATTTGGAGTGACGTATCGGGAACCTAACGAACTAATATGGTAAATTTCCATCGTCCATCCTCTATTACTAATGTTACCGTTGCTGTTTCAAAATAATACATGGGATATAATTTCGGAATCTTTAATTAATCTGGCAATAATTAATTTGTTACCGGCAGAAACTAATAATCAACTCAACGAGAATTTCATCATGTAACAAATGAATTTTGTAAGAAATGTTCTGTAAATTATAATTGAAATTGAAGCACCATGTTTCAATAATTTTCAATCATTATTACGAAAAGTGTTTTATCAACAATGCAATATTCAAATCTTATTACTATTGAAAATGAATACTTCATCGGTGATGCAATATAGAAATATGTGTCGGTTAAAATTAAATTTTAATACACAAGATATAAAAGGAATTCCGAATTTTGTTTAATATATAAAATATACAATAGAATTTTCATAATTTAATTTGCAGAATTTCTATTGATATTTGAATATATTTCAGTATCGCAAAGCTTTACGGATGATTCGGAATTTCTTCCATCATTATATCATATGCATCAAGTTGGACACGATAACGATAAAATTTATTGGAGGATATTGCAGGTTAGACATTAGATGAATTCTAAAATTTCCCATTGTATACATTTTAAAATATAAATTACATTAGGGAAACAATTTAATAATCTTCACTATAGAGTGTTATTTGGTTTCTGAATTTATTCTGATTGTTAGTGTTTCCGGATGATCAAATTTCAATTTTCAATTTTATTTCATTTTAATTTTTTAAAATTGCATTTCCGAATGAAATGGATTTACCATTGGAAAACTAAATTTTCCATTTCCTTTCAAATATCAAAATGCTAATTTCTTTGATATTTTTTTGCATCCTTTTTTATTAATACATTCAAATAAAATTAAATTTAAATAAAACAAATTGTTTATCTCTCAGATTTGATGAAATGGTTAAATTTCAAATAGTATAAAAGAGGAATGATTTGCTATAATGAGTGTATGGTAATATAATAGTATTAATAGCAGTAGTACTGAGCAATTTATTAATTCCATGGTCTGAATTAGGATGATTGAAGAAATGGGAAACCTTGACCGAAATATCAATGCAGCTATATTGAAGTAATAGTACAATACATGTCCTTTCTTTCTTTTCATTCATTCCGCATCTTTACACAGATAATTCCGATACAGAGATAATTCCGCTCTCTCTCAGTACCGTTCCATACTGTCATCATCATATTGTCAACAACATTAAAGAATGGTCAATGTCTGAAATTAATCAACCTTAGAATGAACATAATTAGTTGAAAACGATAAGATATAAAAAATCTTGCATTGATAAATATATTTTGTGCTATAATGTCACATTCCATAAAAAATATACCGTACACAATTTCATATATTAAAAAAATATACCAAACGAAATAAATTATGTGTTATGCAGATTTTATGGTATAATTTTTGAAAGATTATAATTTTGAGCGGTTATTTTAAGTATTAATAATATGAGATATTATTTAATCACAAATAAATGGTTATCGTTCCCAATTTCCATTTCTATATAATTCAAGATTCTGAAAAGCTTCATTTATTGTGCTAGTTGGAAGTTGGATTTGAAAAGAAAATACAAATTATTAGTTTAAAATTCAGAAGTCTATACTGAATAGATAAATTTAAACTATAACATTAAATGAAATATGATGATTCTTGAGATCCAAAATAAAATAAAATAGTTAAAAATCATTACTTGAAGCAACATTGTTTAAATCTTCAAACATGATCATCACTGAAGTGATATTTACTTTAAATAGATAATTGCTTTGGCTATATTAATTACTACTCGAATCAAATGATATCGTGCTACAACCATAACCTGATTTATTGACTTCTATTATTGCCTTTTTAGGATGAAATTGAATTTGTATTAAAATTCAAAACTGATTCTTGGATTGGTATTGGTTGGAAACCGAAAAGCTCCGATGAGCACTGTCCTTCATCGCAGAGCTTTGCAAGTTCAGAGGAGAAATTTTCAGAGGATTTGATGACCACATCATCGTCATGGTGGACATCTCAAACGGCTGCTAATAAACAAAGTAAAACTGTTACAAATGAAGTGCTTCCTTCTGAATCGATCACCGATAGCCATCCTTCAGATACTCATAGTATTAAAATTAAAAGTGAGATTTTGAAATTGGAAAAATTGCTAAAAAATAAATTTATAAAGATTTTTTGGAACATGAAATTTGAAATTTTCTAATGGTTTCGCTTTTTTGTTTTTTTGTTTTGACGGATATATCTAAGTAATTCAAGAAAATCATACATTTATTGATTGATTGCAGAAATTTGTGATGAAAATGAAGAATTTTCTCATTGTCCGGAATTCACTCGCCAGTGTGAAGCATCTTGCGATTGGACAAAATTTCCGGAAACAATTCCAAATTGTCCACGTAGTTGTGGTACGCCAAAATGCGTCTGCAAAGAAGGCTTTGTCCGTTCAGCAAATGATAATAATACCTGTGTACCATTCCACTTTTGCTCTGATGAGGTAAGCAATGAAGAATATAAATTCTTATTTAAAAAATTCTCTTAATTTTCCTAATATGCTATTTATTTCTCTTCATCGCCATTTGTTTTCATTTCTTAACTTTATGAAATATTGGCAGATTTTTTTAATTTAAGATGATTTAAAATTTATTTTACAAAAAATGATATCGCTTATTTTATTTATTTAAAACAGGCTGAAATAGAATGTCCAATTAATTCAACTTGGGCAAAATGTGGTATTTCTTGTGAACCAACATGTGAAAATATGTATGATACATCGCCGTGTCCAGCAAGTTGTGATGAACCAGCTTGTACATGCGCTGATAATTATGTTCGATACAAGGGGAACTGCATCTTTTGGGGAGATTGTCCAAGTAAGTATCATCGTTATCATTATCATTACTTTTGCTTTATCTGTACGAAAAACTTAACGATTTCTGATATTGAATGTCTTTAATCGTTATTTACTTAGAGCATGATGCTGAATGCCAAATTTCAAGACTCTTTTTGAGATTTCGAAAATAATAAAGTGGCAAACGATCAAAAACAATGCTTACTTCAGATCTTGAGCAACATCTTGCATCCGATTTCTTCACCTCAATACCAGTGAAGACAGCTACAGAAGAATCAGGTTCTGTTCAAGTGGAATTTAATCCTGCTGATATGGGTAATCAGTCGAAAATTGCAACCGTAGCAGCAATAACAATAAATGCTGAAACCGGAACAGTATCCGGTAGCTTAACTTGTGGCATCAACGAAACAATTAACGAATGTGGTCGAGCCTGTGAAACAAGCTGTAACAAAGTAAGTTTAATGTAATAATTTCATATCAAATTCTAACAGTTATATTTCTAGAATTGTATAGTTCAGTGATGCTATTAAACGCTAAGCGATTGATATTAGCATGTAATTCGGCCAATATAAAATCAAAATTTAGTATAACCATTAAAATCAATTTTCTTTCAGTCTGTTACATCCTATTATCAAGCAAACTGGAATTTAAATTGAAGAAAAAACGAAATGAGATGTAAATTAGGGTCAATTATAGCAAGCTGATAGTTTTTTAACTCCTCTGGCATGCACTCTTGTTATGTTATTTAAAATTAATCTTCGTTAGTATTTCGAAAAATTTAATCCAGATTATTTAATGAATTACAGATGTACTCTCGGGAAAAATGCACGCATTGTTATCAACCTGCATGTGCATGCATTCATGGTTATGCACGAATTGATGATCAATGTATTTATTGGACTGATTGCCCACGTGAAAGTAATCAAATCATTTTTGCTGCATTCTTGTTAAATTTATTCATAATTGCTAAATTTAAACAAATAATGAAGTGTGAATTGAATTTGAGCATTAAACTTTTAGTTTATTGTTCAAGTAGCTTTTTTAGATCGTCGTTTATCACATGATCGACAACATATTCCTTCATCGATGTTGCGATCACAAAAAACATCGGTTGCCAGTATTGCAGAATATCCAAATGGAACAGAATTGGTGAATTCATCCCTCAAGTCGTCAAATGAAATACGTGAATTGAATTCGACGGATATTGAAACGGTTATAAATGATGCAAACATCGAATCACATAATGTATCAAACGCTCTATTTGCGCCTTTATTAGAATCTGGTACTTCTATTTATTCATTTGTTCATTGATTCATGAAGGTTTTCCGTTTTCAACCGGTGAAATTGACTTAGAGCATTAAAAGGATTTTAGCATTCAGTTAAAAGTTAGTGTCAGTTCTATCTGCCGTTTAATTAATTGATTTATCAAAAAAATTCAAGGGTTCAAAGATACGAACAAATCAAATATAGTCTCACCTTTTTCTAAATTGAAATTTTCTAACATCTTATTAATCAGAGATGTTCAAATTATCTTTCCAGATTTTAATGCTTCAGATGTTGCCGGTGATGTTTGTTACGGTGACTGGCGTTGGCCCCCCGAGTGTCGTGATTGTGATTATCGCATTTCGTGGAATTATTTGGATGATACTGATGAGATTGAATTTTCGATTGAAACACGTGCACCTTCAAATTGGTGGACAGGTGTTGGTTTCTCGCCCACCGGAACAATGGTAAATATCAATAATGCACAATTCCCTTTACTTACCGCTATCAATTATGAGGCTAATGCTGCAAATTTATAATATGTTGAAACCTTTTAATCGGAGTAAAAAAAATTGAAAGTTCATGCTTTATTTGGAAGAGAAATTATTAAGTTATAATAACTATGATGAAAGGTTTCTTTTAGGTAGAAGCTGACATTATTATTGTAAAAAGTCGAAATGGTGAATTATCACTGCATGACATGTATAGCACTGAATATGGCGTGCCACGTGAAGACAGTGAACAAGACGTTTATACGCCAACTGTAATCGGAACACACGTTAATGGTGTACTAAGGGTACAATTTACCCGAAAACGTGATACTGGCGATCGAAAAGCTGACCATCATTTCTCAGAAACTAATTGTTACAAATTTTTATTTCCGGTTTCTGGTGGACGATTAGAGCCGGTTCGTGTCCAGTTTCTATTCTATTGTTTGCTTTTCAAGTTTTAAATATAAGATCATTTTGTTTATAAAGTTTTAGGACATTGGATATCAAATGTTTGCTTCACTTAGGAGGTAAGCAATAGATAAGTTCACGTGACCTTCGAAATTCCTTCGCGCTTAAAATGTTCCAACATAGTGAAAGTAATATTACTAGCATAGTGAAATATTCTGCAGATAAATAAAGTACTTAATATTTCGAACTAGATAGAAATTGAACTTCATCATTGTGAATCTCTCACAATTCATTATTAACCACTACACCACTGATACTCCAATACGGCAAATATATTGAAAAAAATTGAAATTAAAGAAAATATGAAACTTGTTTTTGTGTAATAATTTTTTTAGAATGGCCAACTATCGAAGCATATTAGTATACCACATGTGTCAGAAAATAAAATTTGCATACAAAGTTGTATTACTCCACCAAATCTTCAGGGTAAGGTTTTCTTTTTCCTTTTGTTTATAACTTATAATGGTAATCGTTCATGGATGTTAAATAATTAAATATGAAATTACCATTGCAATGAAAAATTTTGCTCATAATTTCGAGTAGCAAAGGATGCATAAATGAAAAAATGTAAAAGAATTGATTGGAAAAGTTTAATTAGATTTAATTAAAGCATAATTATAGCTACAAGTTCATGTGAAACCGAATATCGTTATCCGGCTGGTTGTAGTGACACTGCATGTGATTATATTGCTAAATGGGAATACAGCATGGCTAGGAAGGATGTAAAATTCGAAATTTCGTCAAAAGAGTTGGGTCGTTGGACCGGAATTGGTTTCTCACGAGATGGGCAAATGGCAAACTCGGATGTATATACTGGTTGGGTGTTTGATGGAAAAGCATATATTACGGATCGATTTGCATACGGTCGTCAACTGCCAGCAATTGATCCAGCTGATCGGCAAGATATCTACGAAATTGGTGGCAAAGCAGAAGATGATATTCAGGTTTACTCATTTATTCGATTAGTTAAGAAATTATTTAAAAGATATTTACGTTCATTGCAGACAATAACATTTCGTCGAAAGGTACTACCAGCTGATACAATTACCGATTTTCCGCTCAATATGTGCTACTATTTCCTATTCCCAGTTGGTGGTGGACGAGTTTTAGCACGAAAAAGTCAAGATTTCGAGAATGCCAAAGCACCGATTGGTTATCATGATCTTTATCAGCCCAAAGTTTCGCGTACAAAAATTTGCATTTGTGATCAGGTAATTACTTACTGGAATTACCTAATTTCTATGATATAGAATATATTTTGTTCAATATTATACGAAATAAGATGTAACTTGTTCAATTTGTTAAGATTTGAAGAACTTCCATCAGATTTCTTTTCCGTTCTTTCCCATTAGCTGATTCGTTCTTCAAAATGATATTTTAAAAAAAGAAGAGAGATGATAGAAAGTTAATTTATTGTGAAGTGAAATTTCATTGCTTAGTTATCATTAACATTACGGATGAGCCAATGAATGCTTGTGAAGCAATTTGAATATGAATTCGAATAAAATGATTGAAATTTTGGCAGAATGGCGTATCAATTGCTTCTGATGATGGGCCACCAGCAGTTCGGAATCGTCGTCGAATAAATCAAATAGGTATGCCACCTCGTCTAAAACGACAGTCGCAAGATCCGTTCGAGGTTCAAATCGATCCTTTTGCAGGAATCGATAAAGGTATACATTATTCGTATCATAAATATATTAGCTTATATTTAAATAAATTACATGAAAAATTGAAATATGAGGCAGACAAAAGTCTCGAATAATTGAACACATAAATTCATAATGAAAACAATTTAATAGTCAGAAACAGAACTTATATTCTTAATATCATTTATATTTCTGTTGCAAAATTGAATGCAACATTTTGGCATAAATTGAAATGAAATATTAATATTATGCAGGATAGGTGCACTTTAGGAATTAAGAAGTCCTGTTTTTTTTCAAGAAAAAAGTGACATTTTTGGCATCAGAAGAAGATTTCCCAATTGATGAAAAAATCTCGAAATCGAAAAATAGAAACTTCCATTTATCAAACAACTTGTCATTGTGACTGATGCAAGCTCAGTCGATCGTACAATAGTTGAAAAAAGTAATATTCTTTCATTAAATAACATTTTTTAACTGATTCTGTTATTTATTACAGTGAATGCATCGACTCCGTCAGAAATTGTGGAACTGAAGTCAAAATCGGAGCAGGAGCGATCGACTCATCTTTCTATCGATGCAACTGTTCCTGTGGATATATTTAAGCCGGAATCTGAACGACGGGTCGCATCCGTAACAATAGAACCGAAGCCAAAACCAAAATCGATTCAACAGCAATTGGAAAAAGATAGAAACGGAGAAGGTAAGTTTCGTATTGCTTGTTAGAAATCTTTTTAAAATCAAATTTTTAGCATACTCGAAATGATTTTCAAATTTTTTAATAGAATTTGCAGTGGAACATCCAATGGATTGTCTTGATATGGTGATAGGAATGATAATTGATGACGTATCACAAGTACGCGACTATTATTCCTTTTCACATATTATGCCACAACCAGATGAATTTTTCGGTGGAAAGGATTCATTGACTTCAGCGGCTGCGTATCAACAGGATGGCATCACTACGGTCGTTTTCCGGAAATCTTTAAAAGGTGAGAGTTATCAATTCAACATTAGTATCATAAAGTCTCCACAACAAAGTATTATACTTCTAACAAATCCATTTAAAGATTAAATTCTGCTTTTCCTTAAGCATCCGATCAAGCCGATCGAACAATATCATCAAAAGAAACTATTGTAATTTGGGAAAAAGGTGTGAAATCTAGAGAATCTATTTCTCAGGTGATGATTTACGTTTCTAATCTTTTTTTCATTATATATTTTTTAGATATGTTATTTAACATATCTAACGGGAAAACTTCTACGAAATAGAACGCTAATTGATTTCACTTGCTATATTTACTCATTATTAAGTAGTAGGACTATCTAACAAGTTTTCTATTTAAAATAATTTAAGAGTGTTTTGGGAAAAACAACAACTTCATTTTTGGACGGTGAGATTAGTCGAGGACAATTGGTTGTCAATTTCTTCGGTTTGTCTTTTTGTCAACTTTTGAAAATAATTCAAAAATTTCGATGAATCGGAATTTTTTCATTTACAAATTACCTAACTGTTTTATAATTAAATAAACAACTTTTCTTATTGTATTCTAATAATCACATGCATATTTATATTTATTTATTACTTGCACTCCTGATAGTTTGCATCCATATCAAATGGTGATAATTTGGTGCCAGTCGTCGATATAGTTAAATCACTCTTAATTTAATTTTCTTTTTAATTAGTAGTATAAAATAGTGGGATAATATTAAGATGACAAAAATAGCTCAAATTGAAAATAATGCGAAAAAATAAAATTGCAGATGATGAGCAAGAAGAACCGAAAGAACTACAAAAATTAGGCCATAAAAACGAATGTTTCGGTAATTATGCATATCCGGTCAATTGTACAGTTGAAAAATGTACTTATGCAATAAGTTGGTGGATTGATGGGAAGAAAATTTCATTCTCATTGGCTGCAGCAATTCCAACATATCATTGGAGTGGAATAGGCTTTTCATTTGATGGATCGATGGCACATTCTGATATTATCGCTATTAATGTATTGGATGTAAGTTTCAAATAGAGCTAAATTTATGGTCGGAATTCAATAAAATTTTTATTGATTATATTCTAATAATTAGGCTACAATAACATTAATACAATAATAATCCTTTTTTTCCATTTGTATTTAAAATATTAGTATAATTTCGAATTTAATAACTTTTTAATAACCTAAAAAGTACACATTTGATTGCGAATCTTTCCGAGTGTAATTGTAAGATAATTAAGTTGCTATCATAAATATTGTTATATAAAATAATTTTTCAATGCACCGAAATTTTAAATATAATTTATTTACCGTATTTCACAATATCTTTTAACAATTTCGCAATCATTTCTGATCTAATTTAATTGATATCGTTCAAATGCAAATTTTTCCAATGAAAAAAAAGAAATGAGTTTTAAAATGAAATTAAAATTGGTTACAGGAAGGAATGATAAAAGTATTGGATATGTTTTCACCAGGTTATAGTAGACCAAAAATTGATAACGAACAAGACTTATTTGATATTCGGACATCATATAATAAAGGTCGAGTGTATGCTAATTTTTCGCGTTATTTGATTTCAAATGACGAAAATGATATTTCCATCGATCAGTGTGTTTATTTCTTATATCCAATTAACGGAGGAATGTTAGATACGGGTGAATCTTTGTTTTCTCTATTTTTCTTATTTTACAATATAATTTTATTTTTTTTCAATATATAATATTACTCAAATCGTTGGTAATTTCTCTTTATTATTTTAGAACAGTATCAATTAATTTATTTTTAATGCTTAATATTTGCAATATTGTCCAAATTATTGGTAAGTTTTTTTGATTTTTTAATAATATTGCAGAAACGAATGAAATGCTTAAACATAAGGAAATGCCAATTTCATCCGCAACAAAAATTTGCCCATCGTTATGTGTCAATAATTTGGCAGCTAAAAAAATGCCACAAAATGAACCACTTCATAAATCATCTATCTTACCGGAAGAATCGATTACTGCTGAAAGTGTAATTTGATTGAAATTTCTATTAATTATCATGATATTAGTTTATACCAAACCAATTTAATATCCTGTTTTTCTTAATTTTTAATTTAAAAAAGAAAAGTGATAAAGGCGAATTAGTGAATCAGTATTAACAAACATTTTAAAATTCTGAAAAGATAGGACGGAGTTTAACTTGAAAACTATTTTAACAATTTTAGGTTACATTTGATGTAGTAATGCGTATTTTAAATCGTGAGTGGAATCCACATCTTGACAATCGAAATACTCGAGAATTCCATCAGCTAGCTGCTGAAGTAATCAATGGGGTTAGTTCCCTTTGTTAATCTATTGATATATTTTTTGATTTTCATTTGAAAATGGAAATTCTGAGTCGAAAAATTTCAGGTCAATTCAATGGTAAAAATGGAATATCCACAGATGAGAGTAATTGAAATTAAAAAATTCAAGTAAGCAGTTTTAAAATAAATAAATGCAATAGGAAATGACTTTCAGACATTAAAAAGAATAATTTTGTAAGAGGATAGAATTAGTATTGCTTAGCGAGTGGAAAATATATTTGGCCTGGCCTAAATTTGGCGTTTGATCATAGTTGAGGAAAAGTTGTTCAACTGAAATTCAATGAATAGATAGCGCGGGTAATGAACTGTACTGTAGTAATAATGATGATACTTATAATAAATAATATGCTAAAATTACTCCTTCCATACAATTTTCTTTTTGGTGAATTAGAAATGAAAAAACTAAATTATCTAAATATAACTAAATGAACTAAATATAACTAAATTAAAAAACTAAATTAGAATGAAAAAACTAAATTATCCAAGTTTTAGGAAAGGTAGTATATTGGCCTTCATGACGCTTTTCTCAGAGGATGACCTTTCACCAAGTGATCGTGAAGTGAAGGAATACTTAAATAAAGTTGAAATTTACAAATTATTCTCATGTCAACACGTGTATTACTTTCTCAATTTGTATTTCAACTGGAAAAAAATAATAAAATATGTTTTTGACATTCTAACTTTCTTCTTTTAGAAATAGAAAAAGAACATTTTCAATATACTTTTCTTTAAACAAAGAATTTTATTTTAGCAAGTTAAACTTCAACCACCGGAAGCATTACATTTCCAAGTAGCATCAGTAATCTTAAGAAAAGCAGAGAAAGGTTAATTACTTCAATTTTTCTTATCCTTCTTTATGTTTTCTTAAATCCTTATACCTTGTAGTATTAACGAAATTTATCACTTATAGATATGATACAAACGGTATCATTTCCTGATTGTCTTATGCGATTTTCAGAATCATCAGATAAATTAGATAAAATTCAAAATTGGGTTGTTCTAAGTATCGGCGTGTCGCTGCTTCTCATTGCAACATTTCTTGTTTGTTGTATCGTTAGTCGTTCACGGAAGGTGCGATCGGATAATTGCGTAAGCTAATAGTTTTTTTCAGTATTGATTTCGAGTAAACATTATTCGACATGTGTTTTCTACTTAATAAATACTAGTAATACGATATCAATACCTCTTTTATACTGTAAAATAAGAAACAAAATTGTTAATTGGTTAATAACATTGGACATACATGAATATAAGATTAGTGGTTGATATATATCAGTAAATCATTTCCTGTTATAATATGAGTGTTTATTCCAGAACAACTACAATGTACATTATCCAATGAATGGATATGGATGCAATAACAATCGTATGTTTTAATCAAATAAATTGCAACATTTTAGAATTTTATACGTGTAAGTATCGAAACTTCCATCTGTCGAAATTAAATGAGTAAGTGATTAAATACGAAAATAATAATTCGATAATTTTGTGACGCGAAAAGATAAAAAGTATGAAAAAATATTATCTTATGATATATTTAGTCACTGTTTCACCTCTGAATAGCAAAAAGGGTGGTTTCGAGAATGCAGCATATCATGCAACACATAGCAGACAATTTTCGCAAGCAACAACAGCTTCTCAAAATGGTACCAGTAAGGGATCACCAAATACTTTAGAAGAAATCCCGAAGGGTGTCGGGGAAACTACCTATCAAGAATGGTTCTCCAAGGTTAATGCTTAATTTTTTCCTGCAATTATAAGAGCAACTAGCAAAAAAATTCAACCATTTAAACTTGACTGATTCTAATTAATTCAAGCTTAAAATAAAGTTCTGTGGTTGAATAATGATATTATATAATTTATTCTGTCATAATTATCTTCTTCATCCTTTTTCTAAATTTTTAAATCAATTTTAGCATTGATTTCATTCAGGTTGCTTCAAAACCTAGTGCACAGCAACATGAAGAGTTATCATCACCTTCCGTTCGACATCCAGTTTCTCGGCGATCTTTTAGTGGACCATCTTATATATCACATGCTCAGGATGCTAACAATTTCTACGGTGAAATGAGATCCGGACCACCCGGATATTATAGACCTTATTAAAAAAAACGAAAACAGAATGATTTCATCAGTCTTCTATATACTTATTGTTATTATATATGATGGTGAAATATTTAAAAAAATTATTTTTTGGATATTTTCATAATATTCGGTATTTTTCATAACTGTTGAAATTTCAAGTATCGGGTAAATGGTGCAAAAAAAAATCGGAAATTTAAATTCATATCAGTTTATTGAAGAGATAGTGTGAATACAAATAAATTAAAGTAAATTTTGTTATTCAGAACGATCAATAAGGAATTTAAACTGTTCCGTTCATTAAATTTTTTAGTTCAATAATATTAAATTTCCATATTATTAGTTTGTAATTTTCAAAATGCATACCAAACGCGTATTTCAATTCGTGCATTTATTATGTGTATATTATATAATTCATTAAAATTTCATAGTCTTTTTTTCTACTTTTTTATAAAATTGCAATTAGATAATTTCATTCTAATTATTATATTAATCTAATTGATAAGAAATTTGTAATGGTGATGATTTTTTGTTTTAAAACTGTTTCTATATTCGATATTATTAATTAGAGATAGTAAAAAATTCTATTAGAAGTTATGCAAATTATATTGTATCCTTCACCAATGTACATTAATATACTTTTGTTGCATAAATGGAAAATTAAAAACTGAATTTTAATCCTTATGATTTTTTCGAAAAAGCGATTTTTCAAAGTGATGAAGTGAAAAAGTTTTCATTCAATTGATTTTTGTTCCATTAAAAAATTAAAAATTTATTAAAGTTTCAACGAACTGTTGATTTTGTCCATTTCGTTGTTGTATTTCCGTAAACATTGCTTTTTCTTATGCTCCATTATGCTATCATTCCATGTAAGGATTAATGAAATTTTATCCATTCCAACAATTAATGGATTGCTTTTATTTAATTACTTTCTTTTCTTAGAAATTAACTATTATCCGTTTTTTGTTTACACTTCAGTGTTTATTAAAAACTTTCGTTCTTTTTTCTAAAATATTTAAAAAGAGGGCAGAGGTTAAAGGTTGAACTTTATTTCTTTGGAATGTTTTGAGATTTGCATTTACTATTCTCTTCACATTTCTTAATCATAAAAATTTTTAAATAACTAATGTTTTTTTTTCGCTTTTTCTTTTTTAGAAAGATATTTTGTTGAATTTAAACAATTTTCATGCAATGTTTTCGTATTACACTCTGTTGGATGGTACTATTAGCTAATTAAATTAATGAATTTTCCTTTGATATACATTTCATCTTTCATTATTATTCTCAAATAATTCTATTGATAATGCGAAAATTACAAAAACTTACTATTTCATGGTTCTTTATTTTTTGATAATTTATTCGATAATTCAAAGCCATTCATTCATTCATTCATTCATATCATTTATATCAATCAGAAATAATGATATATTCTTCGAAATAAATTATTCAGTTATTCTTTCGCTCGGACAGACTAAGCATTATTTACCTTTTTAAAAGAAACAAAAAAATGAAATATTAATTTCTTTTAATTATTGATTTTCCATTAACTTTTACTGATAGAATTCCTTTAAAAAATTAATAGAAAATGTGAAGTTTCTTGTAAAATATAATAAATTGTAAAATTGATAATTTCCGCAATAAACAAAAATTTTAAGAATATATTTTATTAAATATTTTATTTCTATTCAATTGTTCAAATTTCTATCATAATTTCTTAAAATTCTTGAATTTAAAAGTTCTCATCACACAAAGGAAATTGAAAGAAATTATAAAATCATCGGATAAGCAGAAAATATATTTTTGCAATAAGCAATAGATGAGATAGGGATAAAAATCCTTTATAAAGTAATTAAAGTAATTAATTTAGTGATATATTAGTTAAAATTACTGCTTCTTAAAAGTAATAATTTATTTTAAGAAATATTTTTGAAATAAAAGTTATCGTATCGCTTCAGCAAAATTTCGATCAAATAAAAACAAACACAAAATAAACAAAGATTATGTAACTTCATTTGCATATTATTATAGTATATGATTTCGAAAAAAACATCGAAATTATAAAAACATATAAATTGGCGTCTTCCGCCAATATATTTTTCAGTGTTTTATTCGCAATATATTTTAGTGTTAGTTGTGTACGGGTAGGATACTTCTCTTTGGGAAGCCGACCATATATCAGCTGAGGATAACAAAGAATCTTTCGTGACAATGAGCGAAATATTTATCAGTGCTTTTTTTAGATATGAACTTCGTTCTTAGTATCGAGTTGGATATTGAGTTAATTCTCATCATCATTTATTTTTATTTTTTGCCGAAATTTCCGAATTTTTTTATAATTTTGTTCATATTTTATTTTTCAGTTTAATTTTGGTGTGTGCCAAATTTAGATTTAAATATATTTCATATGAGTTTTTCAATTAGAAATTAAATTTTCTAACTATATTTCAGGATCAAAACTGCGACAGTTTGTTATTACCATTTATAAGAATGCCATGCAAAATGACTAAATGTAAACAAATTAAAATAAAACTTTTCAACTTTCATGCCAATTGTTCTTAACAGTATATCGCATATATTTTGTAATTAAAGTTACGTTTAAATTTGACTAAAATTGAAGACTAAATTCGTAGTTGCTTAATCGAAAAATAAAAAATTATCCATTAAAAATAATTGATATTCTAGCTACGCGGTGTACGTAGTCCACCCAATATGTACATCGTGATCACGTTGGAATCGGAGTTATTATTACTTCCAGCTGCTTTTTCTTGAACCAATCCTTCATATGAATTTATCGATTGCACGGTGTGATTATTTCTTAATAATATGAAATTAAATCTGTTAATTTTCCCTTTGGAATACAACGATTTTTTTCTTTTATTGGTTAATTAATTAATAATAATAATCACCTTGAAATATATTTCTACTTGATAATTGACTGTCGCATGAATCGTTATATCCGATAATGAAAGGAAACGGAAACTGCTACATCTTCTTTTATTATTTTAAGCAAATTTATTTCAGGAATAATTGTAGGAATTGCATAACAACGTTGTCGAAAAGTATTGCAGCAACGTGCAGCAACGTGCAGCAGCATTTGGTAACGATTACGCAATTAATTATTCTTGTACTACTTTATTCAAATATTTTTAGAATTGCTTATTCACTTATCATTAATGAGACTGCGTAATTATTTAATTGTTTACTAATTCCTTTACCTAATCACTTTTACATCTATTTCTTGTTTTCCTAGCAATTTAATCATAACTGCTTGCAGTTCTTTGTAGCTCTTAAAGTACGTTTATAGCTTCCTGCTATTAATGATTTCAATTACGGTATTTTATTGCCATAAGTTGAATTATACATCTTATCTTCTTTTATTTATTGAACTAAAACTTGCTAAATTTAATTAAGAGAATAAAATTACAGATGCCACATGTGAAAGACGGCTTAAGGTTAACACATCTGTGCGACACAATTATCACAATCATTGCTACGCATCTTTCTTGTCATTTTCTAATCGTAGCAAATGGTTTTTGGAATGTGTCAACAAAAAGCAGCACTTTGAAGATATGAAACTTGGAAAAGAATTTCATGCGCAATTATAGCTTGCAAAAAATTATGAACAAACAAATAGTGGATAATGAAAGTTCCATAAACAAAATAATTTCATATGTTTTTCTATCAATCTAAGAAATTGTTAGATTTTTTTCATATTTAAAAAGGAATCGAATATTGAATTGTATCAATTGGATTAAGGAATGAATATTAATTACAATTAAAAAACGATTTAAAAAAAAGATTATAATTTGTTTTTTGTTTACTTAGCAAATTGTTGAAAATAATACAAAACAGTTTGTTGATAACAAATCATTCCAATCATTCCAATGAACTGATTTAAAGTAAAAAGAGAAAGAAAAATAAATTAATGCCAACAAAAAATGGCTTCTTTATGTTTAAAATATTTTCATCTTTAAACTATAGCATAATAATTAATAATTAATTAATTCGTCAAAAGTGGAAAAATAATACGATAAGCAATATATATATATTCGATAGAAATAATTTAAAAAATTGAAAAACTTATCGATCTATCAGTTCTCAAAATTTCAAATGATTTTTTGTACATAAAATTTTCGATATCAAATGGAGAATTTATAAAATATCAAAAAAAAGACTTAAAACAATTTCTTTAATTCATTTATAATTAATTGAATAATATTAATACATCTTCTATGAAGTAAATAATAGAAAAGTAGAGCAAAAATGATGAAATCATCGTATAATGAAGCCTTTGATCTTTTATTTTATATAATTTTGAATGTAATTCCTGCAATTTATTCATTTGTTATTTTATCATTTTGGCTAACTTCAACAGAATTAAATTTTCTGCAGTTTTCTTTCACATATTTTGATTTCTTGTTTTATATGATTTAGTAATTCTATAAATCTAAACTTATGTTTTGTTGAACTAAATTATGCCATATATATATGTTACTTATCTTTTTGCGTTGCACCTAAAAAATGAATACTTCGTTATTTCATTCTTGAAAAATTTGAGAGGGATTAAATTAGGAGAGAGAAAGAGAAGCTTATCAAAAGATAAAATCTATCACAAGCATAGGGAAGTTCATTTATCCCCTTTCTTACCTCATCGTTCCACCGGATAAGAGATGGATAATAGCTACCACTAAATCTATACCGCATTCTCTCCCTCTCTTCTCCCTCTCAATCCATCTGCCGACATCATTTTGTCTCAAATTCTTTTTATTATTATTTACCTTATATTTTTTGGTTATTCCACGATGTATGTCCAAATGATAAACAATTTTTTGGCTGTTTGGCATATGCGTAAACAACACATTCATAATTGTTGCAACTAAGAGAAGAAGGAAACAAAATGTTGCAAAAATTTTCAAAATATCTTTTGTTGATCATAATAGTGATAATATTAACATAATTTTAATGCTATATTGATTGATTAAATTTAAATTTTAATAAAATTGGAAGATTTATGTCACGCTTAT